GTACCAATTTGTTAAACTCAGATGGATGAAAGGCTTGGTGAGCCTGGGGCGCGGAATCGAGCCCATGCGTATTGCAAGGTACCTCTGGCCACCGCTCTACTCAAGCCCTTTACAGTAGAGTTACAACTAAGGTACAACGACATTCGGTGCCCTTTTCTTCTTGAAAGAATAGAAATCTCTATAATTCGAAAGGCCGACTTCAATCTTGGCATGGATAACCAATAACTTTCTATATTTTGCTAAATATTCAGAACGAAGTTGTTCGCAATGAAGGTTAATCATTTCACTCGACCCTAAGTCTTACGGCGAGAAGTCTACGTAGAACATAACGCACGTAAGACACTCGTTCTATCTTCGGCACACCTGCTTGTAGAGACCGCTTGAAAAGCGGACATGTTCATGGAGGCCTTCTTGCCTTAGGTTAATTTGAAGTCTTATTTAATCATATGGAGAAAGACGTTGACGAAAAGGAAAAAATTCATCTCAAAGTATTTTCTAGAATGATTATACGCCGATGACAGCTCTTGTTTATCTGCTGTCCATAGAATTGTCCAATCATTTCCTTACTTTCCTTGATTTACGATCTCGTTTTTGGATATTTTCCTACATAAATATATATGTATACCATTTTTTTAAAGTTTAATGCTGCAACTCAATATCAGAACTTTAATGATGCTGAGATATTTGCAAGACTCCGGACCGCAGGTGTCTGTGGTGGGGAACGAACGCGTTGTTGTCCTTTCCGAGGAGTAATGTCAGCAATCACCCGTCAGCGGGATTGATCTGGGGAACCCAAAACGGCAACGAACCTAGTTAATCTGAGGCTGCAGTTATAATCACAATTTTAACTTATTACTATTGCCTTATTATGACGCTGCTGATGCTGATGGCGCGGATCGATAGAACTAGCTGGGAGACAGGGGAAACGAAGGACCTACATGGTGTGGTGGTGAAAGCGTTACTCCCCGGAAAGGTCAATAGCGCGTTCGTTACCCACCACAGACACCTGCGGTCCGGAGTCTTGCAAATATCTCAGCATCATTTAAGTTATATTTCGCAATAGAATGCCCTGCCGTTAGAAAGAGTAGGCAGTAAATAATAAGTTAAAATTTTCAATATCAGAACATCGAGAAACGCTGCGAATTCGACAACTTGCTGATTGGGAAAAAACATTATACTCAGTCCGCAACATTGTAGTGGGAATGGCTACGTTAAGAAAACGAAACTCATAAATTGTGAAGATGATAGGATGTGGTCGCAGCATGAATTTATGTGTGGGAGCGGAAAGGGCGGCTGTCAAAGTGGGTTTCGCCCATCAATCAACTGCGTTGCCGACGCTCAGTCCTGGGTAAAGCTCCTTGTCTGTCTATTCTGTCGAATATCTTGCTCACATTTCTGGATGCTACTATGAAATGCAAAATGCCACCATCAACGCAACGGTGGCCTCTGTCTGTGAATGGGCGTGCGCTTTCCGCTAAGCAACTGTTAGAAAGGCACTGCAATTTACATGTCGCCCAAAAGTTATCGGTAAAGTCGCAAAGTGAACCTGCCGTGGTGGTCTATTAAACATTGTCTTACAAACACCATGGAATGACGCATTTGAATAGAAAGGTCATTCTAAAGGAATTTTACGCAGATGTATAGACATTAGTAAATCCGATACTACTTGTCCACCAGTTAGTGTGCAAATGTCATTCCGAGAATTATTACAGAAAATAAGGAATGAAATCGGAATGAGATCCACTTTCTGCCAGGCCGAGAACAGAACTCTCGTCTTTTTTCTGCGTCAATGACGAAGTGGTGTTTTTTACAGCAGTATATAGGTTAATTATTAAAAAAGAACATCTCGCGCTGTTGTTTACTAACCGGGAGCTTTGGAAAAATCAGTTCCTCATTGTCTGTATGTTTACTCAGCGCGCTTAAATTCTCTGCTACAAGTGGTTTGATTATGTTGTTGTTAATTTTGACGTTCGTGTGTACCGATAAACGCTATTTCTTGAAAACCTTTGGGGAAGTAGCACGAAACTGGGCTTACCGCAAGCTATGATAAGGAGATTACGTGTGGTTTTCATCGTGTTCATTCAAGTCATAGCTTTTAAAGTTTCTAATCCAAGAGAGATGCGTTGTCAGTTGTCTTTTTTTGGCATGGAAAGTTATCGAGAAGCAGCGCAGAGAATTGCTTTCGCGCTGAGCATCTCAATTTGACGCCAATATGAAAGTCATCCATCAGTGTATGTCAGTGTGGCGCGCACTATCAGCTCCAGCATCGCCAATATTTCAAATTTAAACAAGCCGATGTAGGAAGCTAAATAGGCAGAGCCGTTCGTCGCCGCCTCCTCGTTGTTTATAAGGTCTTCTAGTTAACACTTTCACAACCAAGCGCATTGATTTCAATATATACCGTACATCTTTATATCAATACGTATTTGGATTGAGCTCCGGTGACACGTGGTCTGACGAGCACAACACTCGGAAATGGCTGCAGTAGTGAAGGCGTTAATCGTCTATGTATAGTCATCCAAATTTAGCGTTCAGTAAAGCATAAAACGCCCGGCGTCCGCAATTCCTTGTGGGATTCATTCGACTTCATCCAGTATCGTATAGAGAAGTGAATCGGCATTTAGCTTATCGATGTATCATTGCAGCGGCGCAGTTCTAGTGATTCTGTTCATCATGCGGATAGCGCAACCTACTGCGCCCAAAGACTACCGAACCTCTCATCCTCTGGTGTCAAAAATTGGAAGCAGACTTGTTTGAAACACGCTCATTCTCTCCAGTGCATATGGGAACCCTTTATCAAGACTATCTCTAGAATCCTGGGAGAATTGACTCGAGCAGTATTCAACGACATTCGTGACAAAAGCGAAAAAATCCTCAACTGATAGCCGAACCCTCACGCAAACAAATTTCGAAGATCTTCATGGATGATAGACTCGAGGAAACGAATTGAATCGAATTCAAGAAGTACTAGGATCCGTGCAGTGTGGGGTATGTGATGTCAGGCCATGTAATAATTAATAACAATAAGTAGCTATGTTTCAAGTAAGGGTTTTCGTTCTCTCTTATTCTCTACCAATTTCACGATACTGGAGGTAAGAAGTGATTGGTTCGGCTGTAACGCCAGATGGAACTGGAGAGCTAGGGTGCTTTTATGTTGAACACAAGAGACAGGTGACCTAGTCATTTCGAAGTTGCTGGATGGCCGGTATGATCTCTGTAGGCTTCATTTTTTTCCGGTAGTTCACTTTTACACATAAAACTGTTTCAAAACCGACTTTCCTTTAATCTCGGTATGTTGTTTACATTGTGCAGTTTGCACAATGTCGTAATAGAACTTCTCTTTGGATAACGTTTCGTCATCTTAGTCTCACTCAGAGCCGATGATCCAAGTCGATGGTCCACAGTCATTCGTACTCTCAGTGTGGGGTCCTCATTGCCTTGTTTATAAGAAAGCGTAGACGTCGAAACGCTAGCTGAATAGAAGTTTTATTAAGACTTCGTGCAAACTGAACAATATAAATAAATGTATTGATTCCCAATACCGACTTCTTATTACACTGATAAACACGGCACTGATTAATAATTCGTTGTTTTTCTTCAGTGAGCAAACAAGAGGTTGGCCTTATAGCATTTATGAGCACACAGAAGCTGACGTTTCGTCAGTTTCGCCCTCTTCGGAGCGTGTAAGCTCAATTTGACACGCGATCTACTCAGCCAAACATTTTAAAACCCTAGCAGTTGACTTAACACATAAATTTGAATTCTTATAATAAACAGGTTCTTATAAATCCGACCGTTTTGTTCGTTGTAAGTCTTTCAGTTAATTGGCGGAGATCATCCTTCCGTAAGGGCTGAAAAATAGGTGTTGTCCCTTGCAGCAGAAAGCGAAATTAGACGTCGCCGCGATAGTTTAGTATCCTGGCGACTACATGACCATTACAACTCGTGCGTCTTCGAGTAAACCTGGCTGGCTGACTTGAGTCATATATCACTCGCTTCTTTTTCAGCCATTTATTTTCCGCATAGAGTATTTTTTGTTGTACCGATATAATTGTTGTGCAGCTTATACAAGGTAGGTATTGCTTTGGGCATTCAGTTATAAAGGCTGTATTCTACACATAGAAATATATAAAATACAAATAAAATATATACAGACCTGTTTTCGACAAACTCATTCGTTTCATTTGAACCAGACGAAGGATAGCAACTTTTCTGCTGTCTTGAGCGCTGAAATCCGGCACTTAAGCACGCTTTATCACAATTGCAAACCATTAAGGAAGTTTGTATGGAAGCGATTGTTTTGTGTGAAGGTGTTCTGCATGCACAAAGTGCGTTTTCATCACTCTGTAATGTTCATCTTTGGAAGGGTTACTCATTCTCAATACTTATTGTCATAACCTTTCATTGAATCTCTAAACGGACATTTATACTAAGAGGATGAAGCTTTGGGCGTTGATCATTGCATAAGGGATGCGCCATACATTCGACTTCATTGACCATCGTCGGAGATGATTGAATGAATATCTAACCTTTACAATGACTCACGGTAGCCTACCGATGTATCGAGCCAGTTCTGCTATCCTTCCAGACAAGTCTGGTACCAATTTGGCGATCTTGGAGGGATGGAAGGCTTGGTGGGCCATGGGCGCGGTAATCGATCCCATGGCGCCCCCGACCGCGTCGCTGTACATGCCCCTTACAGGTTGACATTTGTATTCCAACCTAGGAAACTAACACTTTTACGCATTATTATTATTATTAACATTATTATTAACATAAGTCACAATAGGGAACTTCTTCAATGTGAAGTTCCTACACACAATTTATGGAACAACAACCACAAATCTGCCACCTCGGCAACTTAGAATTTCCACACACGCACACTCCTACAATCGGTAATTTCTACAACAAACCGTTCTTATCCTAATTATTGAAGCAGCATGGACAAGAAAAATTTGCTACATCGGTTCCATTTAGTACTCACGTATACTTTTTAGACCTTAATCGTTATCAAAACTGAAATGGTAAGGGGTATTCACATAAAAATTATAATACACGATCACAACAGCAACAAAGTAAATGGGAAGAGCAATCCGCGCCACCCGATCGACGCTGCTGATCGAGTTCTCTGCCAAACCGAACGGATCTGTTGCACGGGCCTAAAGACAGAGCCATATTTTGATACCTTAAAAGTAATTTTAAAGACAAAGACGTTTTCATGGGTTCATCGATTTCCTAGAGGTCTTAAGATTAGCGGCAAGTAAATTATGCGTGCCGTCACCACATTTGCGACTATGAGCATTGATTTTAATGCGAAACTTATAAAACATAGGGATATCATAGCTTTGAGCAACTATAGCTAAACCCGTAGCGATTTTCTTTACAAAGATTGGTAATGGTAGAATGCGCGGATCCTCCTCTCGAAGCATGGAGTTCTCTTGTTCTACCATGATGGAATTCTTATTATCTATTTATTCTTATTCTTATTTTCTCCCAACGGTTTACCTCCTCATCGTGGCTGGGAGGTGTTTCTGGGTGTTGGACTGCGATGTACAGCGGGGGATCCATCCTCTGGCAGGGTCTCCCAAGCCGAAAAGGAGTCCGGCGTTTCCATCAGCAAACCTAGCTAAGAGTAAACCGATACCAGGATCCACCACCGTCTTGGTACCAAAGGTTACATGGTGGTAAATCTCCCTCTGATCCACAAGGACTGCGACTGTCCGTAGTGGTGAAGACCTGGGGCAGACTTTGGTCAGGCTGACCTCGGGACTCCAGGGAACCATAGTGGCTTAGCCAGCAAATCTCCGAAAAGTGGAGATTATGCTGGGGCCCGCACAACCAGTGAGAATGGGCCATTAAAGTGTCAAGTATTTACTCTTATTTACTGAAGTCTATTGCTGGAATAAGTTTCACTATTTCTGCGTCCACGTTCATTTTTCGGAAACAATTATAGAACTGGGTCTATTTCATCAAGACACGGTAGTTTTCACCAAAGGACAATAAATTTTGTAGTTGGCGCATTTGCTTTATAATTTTTTATAAATTCAGGTATCGCCTTGAGCATTTTGAGAGTTTCAATCCTTAATAAAATTATGGTGTAAACAATAATTTATAAAGATTTCACATATCATTTAGGCGACAAAGCAAACTATTTTATATACTTTTTAAAGCATTCCACTTACTTACTTGGCTATGCTTTGATGGTCCGTCTTCACTGTTCAGAGTTTTTATGGTTTAGGTATTGTGGTTCCCTGGAGTCCCGAGTTCAGCCTAGCCAAAGTCTTTCCCAGGTCGTCACCACCACAGGCAGTCGCCGCCCATGTGGATCAGAGGGAGATTTATCACCATGCGGCTAGTTTAATACCAGAACGGTGGCCGGCCCTGGTATTGGTGTATTCCTAGCTAGGCTTCCCGATGGAGAAGCTGGACTCCTTCTCAGCTTGGGAGACCCTGCTGGGGGTGAATCTACCTGCTGCACACCGAAGCCCGACACCTAGGAACACCTCCCAGCGGTGATGAAGGCCAAACCGTTTGGAAGAAAGCATTCCACTACACTATCTGTTAACATATTGGTGGTCGCCTAGTCATGTGGGAGTCATTTTTTTTATGGGTATTTATTTTAAGTCTTAGAGTTTTTTTGCTGCAGTTTTTCTTCTTTTGATAACTAATCAAGCATGGGTGTAGTGGTTGAGGTTGAACAAAACTCCATTCCTGACTTCACCAATTAAGAAAATTTATTTTTGGCCAACTTTCTTCGGCCAACTTGAATCTGGCGGAGTGCACTAACATATCTTCCGTACTCACACTTAAGCTCGGAATTTGTGGACATTTCATCGTGACAGTAAGATAGGAAATCACTGACAAAAGTTTTACAGAAGTCACATAAAGTTATGTGTTCATTCATTTATGTTCTCACAAAATGTATCTTTCCAAGCACTGAATAATCTCGACTCTTTTCATACAACCTTTTCAACCTTTTACTGATGTTGTAGATGTCGTACTCTAAAACACCCACTTTGTTTACTTTATAAACCTCTAGTTTCTGACGTTAACACTTTTCTGACAATCACAGTCAGCACAACCGGCCACTACCTCTTCAATGTACGCATCTTATAGATTTCGACGCTCACTTAGAATGATTAAAATGCTGTACGTTTACATATATAATCCTCACATGCAATTTTATAACCGATAACTTTAGAAGTTAGCAATGCGGCATATAGTTTTTACCTACTTGACAAGTATTGTATGATGGCAGGTTACGGACCATAACATCTAAGTATTTCTAATAACAACCAACGCTGAGTCTGCTGTTCATTGGCAGTTAATTATCTATCTTCCAGAGCACGTTTATTTGAAGGCGGAAACACTTGTACTCTGGCTATTTAAATCAAACTACCATAGGCATAACCTTTAACGGATGTATCCTAACTTTCCTTAGATTGTCATAGCAGATTCTCGATGTGGAATGTATCGATGGAATATCAGTTTTCCTACAAAGGCACGAGACTGTCAACGATACAGAAGTGTTCACGAACTTTGTAAACTCTGTTTCTTCTAAAAAGTTCGAGAAACGCATAAATCTGATATATTCTGTTTACTTCATCATGTACTGCTTTATAGACTAAATGGGAGTGATTCAACAACTTTGTCTCATGGCATCATAGACTAGTAAACAGGAAGGTGGTATCTGGAGCCAGTAAGCAAACTTCAATAGTGTCGAAGCCATGGTAGCTTAAGGTTTCTCCTTTTTAAGACAAAGACCGATCAATATCTTGACCTCTTAAACGACTGTGAAGTCTTCCTCGCGTTGCAGTTGTTATTATGAGTAGTCATATTATGGAATCGGTAGAGATTGATATGTTAAGAAACTGAGTACCAGAGGTCCACAGAAATTTTGTAGGATGGTGAGCGGACTTTTTTTATCATACACGAGTGTTTGATATGTTTCGAAAGCATGGGAAGAGGCATGGACAATAGTAAAGGTCTGAAAAACGCAGGAAAACTGAATTGTTCAACGAAAAGCACAACAAAAATATGGAGGTCATTTGCTGTGTGGCTGACGGGGATCGCATAAGACTCATCTCCGTGAGCAGCCGATGCTTAGGTATCGCTAATGTGTTAGTGGCGAAATTACTTCTTGTTGGAAACCCATCTTCGTAGTGAATATGTTAAAATACAAAATAAAATAAGTGCTCGCCTTTGATCTATCTTTATGGGTGCGATATATATTCCACATTAATAGTTAAACGCAAAAGTGCTTGAATGTACACTTAGCACATACATTTGACATTTGCAAAGACCTACCGACGTATGAAGTTTTTTGTTTTAATTATTTGTTTTACATGACCGGCCATCAAATCTACTGCGCGTATGACAGCACTTCTTGCGCTCGCTTCATTTTCCTCGAGTTTATCGTCCACAATGGTCTTCGAACACTTCGCGTTTTGTTTCTGCTTCTGCTTTAGGATTCCGTATTCTTTCTTAATGAATGAATGTCTTTGAATTGCGTGCAAATGCGTCTCCACGCGGATTAATGGGGGCGAGGGGAGGTCGAACTAGTGTCTTTGCTTCCTGGTCGACGGCACCAGTAACTATTGCTCTATCTTCCCTCTTATATCTCCGGTGCGGATTTGTCGATTCTGAAAGGAGAGGAGTTGTCTAGGCCGGCGAGCGACAGTGTTTGAATCAACGATTGTCTGATTTTAGAGCCCTTCTTACAACTGGATTATATAGGCCATAATATAAGTAGTGTCGAAAGCAATTCCATGGAAATATGGCGATCGACCAGTACACTGCAGAAAAAGAATCAGATAGTGACTAGATTTTCAATGAAACCATAATAAACCATTCTATTAGCAACCTCGTGTCTGCTTATTGAAGAAAAATATCGAAACCATAATAGCTCACACTATTGATCATCCAGTAGTAAAGGCGCCATCCAACGCTGTCCCTATAAATAGAACGCCTGAGTGTTTTTAATCCATAATTTAAAAAATGAGATAGTGGTTGGAGAGGTTAAACTCGTTTCTGTGAAATGAACGTTACTGAAATAACTAACTGTTGAAACTCTTCAATTGTTTGAAGAGCGTCATCGCGTGAATATGCTGAGTCAGTGGGAGGCATGTGTCTCTTCGCAGAGGTATTCCTGGCACGATGGTACATTGAATGTCTTCCCCCATCATTTCGAGTCTGAATATTTCGTTAATGCTTAAACATGAAACCTAATAGTTGCGTTTGTAGATTACGTGTGGGTTTTTTATATGAGATGCTTTTGTGATTTGTTAATTAGGAACAAATAGTTTTTCAACAATTATTGCAGCAGTTAGAATCTGAGTGTCGGCGAGATCGAGAAAAATTGTGCCACATGAAAGTCCCCTGTATTTAAATAGCACTGCGCCTTGTTCCAGCTCTTCGACGGAGGTGGTTCTCTGGAGGGTCGAGCGTTATTCGCCACTTCATTTTTTGTTCTAAAGGTCTTCAGCGTTTTTTTGTGCACAATTTTAGCTCAGCCGTAGAAAAATAGCTTGATGATCTATCTTATTAAGGCTCTGCACTCACTATTCCTGTAGTTGACGTCGAGCTGCCTGAATAGGCCATCCTACTCGTGTGTCGATTGCTGCAAAAATTGAGCATCTGTTCTTATTCTTGAAACCATCATAATATCAATATATTGAGCTGTTTCATACACAACCTCACTAAGTTCTAGGAAGTAGGTGGATTTAGATAGGTACCTTAATACTGCAGTTTTCGGAATTCTTTTTATAATTTGTCTCATTTTTTCCCTCTCCAGAGCCTGAATTTCTGGATCGCCTGTGTTGAATTTTGTATAGTAATGCACTATGGTGAATTCCATCATGCACACCAAGAGTGTCGCATAGCAGATCCATATATAAACGTCTAACGCTGTCGGGATGTTCACCTAAATGGAGCAGGTCAAATGAAAACATCCTAGTGGAGTGTGGAACTGGAATAACTAAAGGAAAGAAAACGAGAAGTGCACCTTTGGTGCGTCCGATTTGCTGTCATTGGTAATCAACACGAGTGTGAGAACCGATGTGATTCCTGGAAGGTCGGCTTATAACGAGGAAATATTAAATCTTCCTAATCCAATACCGGAAGTTTTACAAGAAAAATGTTTTTTTCGCCATATTCCTTGCAAGTTTCGCTTTTCACTTCCATTGTTGGTACCTAGAGATTGTTCATAAGGATTGGGAAGTACTTTACTCATACATTGTGTTGAATGCAAATACTTCCCATTTTTATTTGTGATGCCTGCATCAAATAGTAGCGATGCAATAAATCTGCATTCTGAACTTCGTTTGGGTGTTACTGGTTGAGCACATTCTTTAGTTCAAATCGAGGTTTCGCTCACCCATGCCAATACGGTCGCCTGTGGCCTCGCGGTTCGTCCAGAACGCAACCCAACAAAGAAGCACTATCAGAGTGCATGGGACATAAAAATTCATCAGGAAATATCCGAAATGGCGGTCAAAAAAAAACCAAACCTCCAGAGCAGAATAGTTGCCTAAAATATCTAAGTGCTAATTCATAAGAGAAACAAAGATCATCTAAACGTTTAGACCTCATTTTTAATGTGACGCTTGGATTATAATCGAAGGTGCTGATAATTCATTTCTCGACTAATGTTTGGCACTTTTCTTCGCCAAAAAGGAACTGTAGGTAAAAACCATCTCAAAAATCTCTGGGAGAAACTGCTACCAGTATGACTTCATTCCACTGGTGAGAGATTTGAGGCTAATAGATAATAAACTAACGTGAGGTTATATGTGAAGTATAACCAAAATGATGCTGATATTTTTGCAAAATTCGGATCTCAGCAGAGCTTCGAACCCGCAATTACCCTTTCCGAGGCTCGAGGAAAAGAAGTATTAGGCAGTGAACAAAAAGTTAAATAACGTGGGATTCTCGAAAACTATGAACACGTCTCCGAGATAACGAACACTATAGAGTTATAGTAGAGCTTACATAGTAAAGCGTTTAACAAAGAAAAACACTGGCAAAGTAAGAGGCAATTCTCTTACGGTCTCTAGTCAAATTCGTCGAGTTGAAAACTTTAAACCCAGTCATCGAAAATTGTGGTAAGTCGGAAATACCTTCGTAGTCCATCTAAAATAGATGTCATGAGGAACATAACAAGCAAAAATTTTAATACTTACCTGCACTCCTCTATCCGTTCCCATTATCTTCCATTCGTACAATAACTCATCTGCGCTAAATGCATATGATCCAATTACTAGTCGGCAAGCCTGAATGCTTAAGCATCACTTGAACTCAAAAGTTGTTAGTAGGAAACAAATCCGTTTGTTTAACAAAAAAAAGAGCACACTGTGTCAAATTTATTTGGTACTGGATAAGGGTAATATAACGCAGAACTCCCAAAAGTATGATTGAAGTGTTACATTTTCACTAGACTTTTGGACGAAATCAGGAAATGACATGCAATTTTTCTTAATGCTGTCAAACTGCTTGATTGACGACTACCTCTTTCTTAATGAATCCCTTTCACAATAATTTGCTTGAACAGTTTTGAACACTATTCCAGTGGAAAACTTAAAGCAATTATGGAATAAATGGAGTTATCCTCCAATATTCTGTGGATCGAAGGATTCAGATATTCATAAGACATCGTGAAGGCAACACGATAGTTGAATGGTGACCCTTTGCTTTATCGACATGGAAAAAAAGCAGCAAAGTTTGGAAAAAACGAGTCTGAACGAACAGCGTGACCAGTACTGGGTACTTAGACTCACAGTGAAAAGCACAAATTTCCATAAGCGTCCCATAACGAACCGAACCATCTAATGGTTCTACTTGTATTTGGATACTTGGATACTTGCACAGCCCGTAATCACTGATTGTGTGGGCTCCACCATATTCTACATTCTCCGGAGTTTTGCTGGTTTATCCACTGTGTTTTCCTGGAGTTTTGAGGTCAGCCTGGCCATAGTCTGCTTCGTGTTTTCAACCGCACAGGAAGTCGCAACCGTTGTGGATCAGAGAGAGATTGGCCACCATGCAACTTGTCCGATACTAGGTGGATCTTGAAATTGATTTACTCCTAGCTGGGCTTCCCTATGAAAACGTTGGACTCCTTCTCAGCTTGGGAGATCCTGCTTGGAAGGATGGATCACCGCTCTGTGCATCGCCGTCCGACACTCGGAAACATCTCCTAACCACAATGAGACGGTAGACCGTTGGAAGGACTAAAGCACTTTAATTACCTATGTTTGAGGTTAGACTTGAATATATGGATATATAACTACAGCTTTGGACGAAAAATAATATGACATCAAACAAGAAAAAGAGCAACAATGAGCCCTCCGGTAGTAAGATGACGAAGGCGATATTTTCTAGATTTGCATCTGGGGCGTGTACTGCTTCCAAGTGTTCGAGGTCTCAGTAGTCGCCAAAAATGGAGCACCGACAATCATGCTAATAAATATTTTATTCCCAAACTCCGCTGAGTCATCTTCTGTCAGTCATTCGACCATTACCAGGAATCGACGCCAGCATAAGAATTACCACCATCCGGAGAGAATTCTCTAACCTAATCAGGAAATTCCTGTTCGATTCCTAAGGCCTGGCGATCACCTATGATAAAGAACTCTAGAGCTCTCTAGCAGAGGTATCTCGAACCTCCCAAAAGAAATTACGCTAGGCTGGATCTAGAATGTTAGCGATGGAAAGCTCAAATCTGGGCTCACTAACGAATACGACCACCTCTAAACGATTTCGTTTGGAAAGCAATCGAAATAATGAAAGGTATTGCAGGAACATGGATATCATGTGAGGATGCCGAGCTTAAGTATCCAAACATTTAAGTTACTCAGTACTAAACTCAGCACCACATTTACACACAGTTTATTCAACATTTAAAAGTTTGACAACGTAATCGCTCAGAGGTCCGTAGTGGGTTAATTTTGAAAAATGTGAATCAATGCTGATTTTAGCGATCTTCGTCCTCTATGCACGATCGAACACCAGGCTATGAATAACAGAAAACTGAAGTGTTACGTATCGACATCGAGAAGCTCTAAAGCTATAATGACACATTTCCTACCACCATAAGTGGCGATCTAAAGACTTAAGTTGGACCTAGTAGAAGGTGTAAAGAATTTCAGACTTCGAACCGATGGTTCGAGTGGAATGGATGGGATAAATCCCGATGAGTCTATCATGTTAACCACCATGGTAAGTGACCATTCCAAAAAACTCATCTCTAACGTTTTGGTATGGAGAGCATCACAACGAGATAGACCACATCATAATAAGCCGGATTTCCTAGTAATAATCTTACTGTTCTTCTTAGGTTTTAACCAGGGCCGGACTGTCGCGTGCTCCGCGAAGGATAAAAATTATGAAATCCCAAGGCGATCGTGGAATTTGTCCAAACGTTCAACTGGTTCATGGAAGGATACCGATGAGAATAATATCTAGGAGAAAAACGACCAGTCCATTCAGCACCCTTACTACAATGCTATAAAAGTGGGAAGTATGGAAGCCATAAAAAGACGTTTGATTTCAGACGCACCCGAACTGATACGAAGATGTGGAAATGAAATAGAAAAATGAGACAACTGGCTTATTCTTGAGTTTATAGACACCTTCATGTCAAAGTAGCGATGAAAAAGTTTTTAGGGAGGCAAGATGATTAGCTACAAAAAGTCGGAAGAAAACATGCAACACCTTCAGTGATGCGGCAATTTGTATAAGAAAGATAAACCGCCTCGGGCATCAAGGTGGTAAATACACCTAGGATGGCAGTGAAAGCGGTCAATCATGCATCGTACTATCGATGTAGCTTTTACAGTTTACAGGTAAATGAGTTTTACTTATGCAGCGGAAGAAATCACTGTCATATAATTTGAAAAGGAGACCCAAAGTCCCAAACTATATGAATGGTCCGATATTGAACAGACTAACGTGTATGCACCACGTTGTTGAAAATCACTTAGCCGAACATATGATATGAACATAACATATGAATGATATTCGCTTAACGATGATCAGTGGTCAGAAGCTTCTAATTATTGATGTTCACGAGATGTCAAAGCTAGTTTCTGTGAGTAAATCAATGAAAGTTAATAAGATGTGCATAAACGAGTACAGACAACCTACTCGTTCTGTATTAAAAGAAATGTATCGCACCTGTCGGTCCAAAGGATAGCGTCCTAACGACATTGCACACTTTCCTAAAGGTAAATCAAAAGTTTTGTATCAATAATGCACCAAGTAGGAGACTTGAATAGTTTAAATTGATTCCTGTGTTACTTAAAGTCATCTATTCTACGCACCTTGAATCTGCAAAAATTGCTCACAGTATGCTGTATATTCCAGCTACTACAACAATCTTAGAACAAAAAAAGATGTAAAGTGGGAAAATAAGAAGAAATTGAGGCGATTCATAGTTTCGGCTCCAAGGCAACACTTTGTTCTGCATGTCATCTATAACTTGCTGAGAGGATTAACGGCTGCTAGATTTATATCTACCAGCTATAGTCGATTAGCATTGCTTCCTATCAGTGCCAATTGGCACTCGGATTTCTCCTCTTCCTAAACTCTGGAAAGCTTCGATCATATTTCGTTCTATTTCCATGCGGTACAAAGATCTTGGACGCGCATCAATGTTTGTGTTTCAATAACTGGGCTGCGAACCAAACTCATCACCACTTTTACTCCATAGTGTTGTGTTCTTCTAATGACGACAGATCCCTTTTCATTTTGTCTATTTTGTCGGCTTTTCATGGTCTTATAATTTCCTACTAAAATACAGACGAAGCTCTAAAAGCTCTCGGACTTGACCAATCCTTAAGAGATGCGCTATGCATGTCAACTTCATTAAGCATCGTTAGAGGTGAATAAATGCATGTCTGGCTCTCACAACGACTCGCGGTGGCCTACCCATGTATCGAGTCAGTGCCGCTATCCTCGAAGCAGGTGTGTTGCCAATTTGCCGACCATGGAGGGATGGAAGACTTGGTGAGTCTTGGGCGTGGCGATCGATCTCATGTGTGTTGCAGGGCGCCGCCGACCACTGCGCTACGCGCTCCTTCGAAGGACTATACAACGAACTAAATTGGCCATGTCGACATCTACCACCCAGACATGAATTGACTTCAGTGCATATTGGTAAAAAAATCGTCAGAGTTAAGATATAGTTGTTTTACCTTTGATAGTAAGTCTGCTGCTATATAGGACAGTGCCGTCCGGATATAACCTGACAAGTCGATTACTAGTCGTCATCGAATGCGTGTACGATCGCGCACCGTTCCAAAAATACTGAAACAACATCTACAATCTCATGCTACTGAAAATTTTGAATTTTTTGGCAATACTGGGAATTTCGTCGCCTGGGAAACTAGGAAAGGACATATTCATTTCTGTACCATTTTTTCGAACAGTCTGAATCTTACTGCTAGCAACATTGTAGTCGGCGCCCATTATATGTTACGTTCCTAGCAAGAAGAACTACATTTCAACTGTCAGTTCAGAATTTTAAACTAGTTTTAATGAACTTATAGCCACCCAAACTCACCTTTCATATCAATACAGTAGGCCGCGAATTACTTACTGATCTATCGCAACATCTTTGTCTTCGCCTTTTACCCCAAGTGGTTACAAAAAAATAGCTTAATTAAATAGTTAATTGATTGTAGCGAAAAAAAGGAGAATTTGTTTACGCAGATTCAAAATAAATAAAAGTCACGAAATTCTTAGTTTTGGAATGAACCGTAGTTTTTCTTCGACGACAATACACCCACCGTATCTGGTTTCCATATTTTATCAAGCATTGCCATGCTTAATGATAACTGTTGATTACTAGTTCCATTGAACATCAGTCGCGAGTCTGTCCATGTTTGTCGAAAATAGCAGTTGAACGAATAGGTCTAAACTTTTTGTTTCTAAACGGGGAATCGAACAAAAATGCGCTTTACAGCTTCGCTATAGTAGAATAATTTAAATTGGAAGATTAGTATTAGCCACTTTATAAGGTGCACAAGGCTTTATTTTAATTTATAAGTAGATACTCTCGCCTTGTGTTTTGCAACCACTTGCAGTTCTTTTAATAACTTCGTTGCCTTCCAATCGCCATCCATGGAGGTGGCTAAACCCGTACAGCTCTTCCCTGGAGTACATCATGAACCTCTGTCATCTTTTCTCAACACCATGAAGGCTGGACAAGCGAGATTTTCTTTTGGAACCCCAGATAGCTGAGATAAGTCGGAAAGGAGATTTGCTTCCAATGAAACCAGGTTTCCTTCACAATGACGGTGGATTTGTCAAAGACTGAGAATGTTGCGACTCGTCGACCGCTATCAAGAATGACAGAACATGGCCTCCACTGAGAACGAGTACTCTTACGAAAGTCAGTTTATTCGAATTGCCTGAGTCTTACTTTTTTAATTACAAATAGTTTTTGGAAACACTTTCAAAACCACAATAGAAAACTAGCTGAGAGACAGACGAAACGAAATACCCACATGGTCAATGGGTGAACACCCTGGGCCCCGAAAAGAGTAGAAGCGCGTTCGCTACCTATCGGAGACACCTGCCTTCCGGAGTTTTGCAAATATCTCAACATCGTTGTGGTTGTATTTTCAAAACAGTTTTTTATTATTTCCTTCATAGGTGACAAATTGTTTTTGCAGAAGATGCCATCAAACTTTGACCTATAAACCTGAAATATTGAAATCTCTCTTTTGACCTTTTCAGCAGCGAGTATGTGAATTTTTATGCTATAGGTTATCGGTTCTGTTATGAGTAATCTATTAATCCACTGAGGAATCATAATATATCAATCCTGAATGGTAGCCGACCGTAATAATTCGGGAAAGGTGGTGGCAACAGTCCGAAGGCGCAAAACGAGCTTAGTTGTATGAGGTCGAATGTAAATTTATAGCATCTCATCCTAGCACAATATTTCACTTCAATAGTGTAGAGGTCGCAATGACGCACAGTAGCATAAGGGAAAGATTCAATGATAATATGAAAGCGAATAACTCAAGCTTTTATGGCCATAAAAAACCTCGATTTTCCGCCTTTTCTGTGTTCCACAGCGCTGATGGAAATCTAGTGATTATGAATGCTTTTAATGAAAAACTAAAGAAGGACAACGAAGACCATAGCACTGCTCTTTTGCTTTAAAAAGAAAAAGAGCGCTGGTAACAAAGTATTTTGAGAAGCGGGAACTGTGTGCCTTTTTCGAGTATAGTCACGTATCGCTCACCTTGGTTAGATCAGAGATTGGACCCATGGTGCGTACGAAGATGTCGATGAACACTATAGTGGGTTTCACTGTAAAAAAACGACATGCACCGCAAAAATCATTACAGTCTAGTGAATCTATAACTGTACGTACGGTTGAATTCTGGTCGTAAGTGGCGGTCGTAACCCTTTAGTACTTGATTCAACAGTGCGGTGACGTTGTTTGCAACTCCTTTCCTTAAAATGATCTTTGGTTCACTTTCTTCTTTTTAGTATATCATAGCCAAGAGCAAAATTACGGATAGCAGAAAGTTTATGAACCAATTAAATCACCTGTCATGTCGCCCCGAGCTTACAGCAGACTTTTCTGTTGCGAAACTAACATTTGCCAGTTGATAGAGCGGTTGTGGCGAACTCAGCTGTACCCAAAACAACACGATGAGGTGCGTCCTCATTCTGAAACCATGGGATAATTTCTGCTTTGATTTTTTTCACTTCTAAAGCTCATATTCCTTTTTCCAGTTTTACATCTATACTTTGTTTTTACATAAACCTGTTGAAGTTATGCCACTTAAACAAGAATATGGAGGAAATTAGAGCACTTCTATCTTGTATGGATTCAAAACGGGAAAAAAAGCTGCTGCTGGAGGTTGTTGACTACATAAACTGGGCAATGCATCTCGTCAGAGAACCGTTAACCATCGTTCGGTGAAACGTTGGAAGGAAAAGCTTCACGAAAGCTGTTAGACCCGTGACAGAGACCAACTGTGAGACGGCTGGATGCCAATGATGGTGATCATTTGAAAAGGTTATTTAAGACATACCAACTCTTCAAATGCTCTAAAGATCGCCATAAAGCTAAGGCTTCAGAATCTCAACTGTGAAGTTAAAAAAGACTGCAAATAGGAACATGAATGGAAAGCAAAGAGGTCGTCGTAGCGCAGTCTATTCCGCGCATCCTTAAATTGACGCAAACGATTGATTTCTGAAGGAAGTCGCCTTAAAGCAGTCTATTCCGCGCTTCCTTCTATCGTCGAAAACGATTGACTTCTATAGAACAAGTCTATTGATCCAGAAATGCGCCATGAACGGTAGCATCTGCAGTTGGCATCGAAAGAAACCAATTTTCTGTTTTCTTAATAAGCATACGCAAACTTGTCACTATACTCTTTTTTTCACAAATGGCGACGTTTCAATATATTTTGCCTTCTTCAAAGCCTGGAAAGAAGTTGATTGCAATCTAGTCAACCAAACACGTCCATAATCCCAGCAGAAGCCCTAGTATTTAAAACGCACACAATATTAGAAGGTTTTGAAGTAGAAGTTACTGTCTTCGCACAGGAACCGAAGATTTAATCTCACAATACTCTCTAAGCATTCCAGATAAATTCCAAAAGTCCAAATTAAGCCGCAGGGAGGAACGCCTTATAATCACTCGTGATCCCACACAATATCTCTGACTGACCGAATATGAGAGAAGCGCATTAACAGTTCATGTGAACTCTGTGCAGTTGGTCTTCTCGTGAAATTCTCAGTGAAAGGCTCACTGAAAACGGTGTGTGCGAAGAAGCTATGTTGGTTTTCAAACCGATTGAAATCGTGTTTTTTCTGTTATGGTTATGGAGCATTTTCAGCTGGGTAGATTGGAATCAAGTGACATTTCCAGGCTCTAAACAGGGCGACATGCGCTGAAGTATCAACTTTTGTAAAGAAACAAGTACAAATATCATGCGTGCTTATCAAGAAAACAACGAATTATTGATTAATGCCACGGTTAATAGAATGTGGGTGTGGGAAGCAGTTGCGCTTGCATGAATACGGATGACCTCTTATACAAGAACCAAAAATTGGAAGAATTGGATAGCTAGACTGCATTTTACTGGATTCTCGCGGTAACAGTCTGTGGCTTCAGAAACATTGACTTTTGCGAGCAGCTTGTTGCTGAAGTGCCAACGGCTCTATTCCGGTTATTAAAGCACATTATGAAATGTGGTTAGACTGATTTGAGGGCTGAACACCTAAACACCTACAAGATGTTTTAGACATCTAGTACACTCCGAATCCAATTCCTTGAGTTCCTTTTAAGACTGACAGCACAAATCCCACTCAACGAAGGCGATCAGTGCTGTCTGACTTAGCTTATTTCTCCTCTAGATGTCACCTGCCGAAAGTGGAATAGATACTTTCCTCATGTCGTTTATATTATAGCTTATATTATTGCCTTCATTTCTTTTACACTACGTTGTTGATTGTAAATAAACCCCTGTATTGTTTTCAAGGCCTTTTTTCACGTGTAAATTCACTTTCTCGTATTGTCACCTACAAAAAAAGCATCCGAACGAAAAGGGTTCAGTAGCCAACATCTTCGCTATATTTAGAGGTAAATGTGTTGTTAACTTAAGGCGAAACGATGCATGCTTACTCTAGCGGGTGAAAAATCTGGCATCTCTTAAACCGCATTCAGTGTCTTATGTTACTCTAGGAATTTCGCATCTAAAAAGTTGAGTAGGAAGAAATTTTTTTGAGAAGAGGGTTTTATAACGTTCTATTTCACAAATATTGTCAGGAAATAGGAAAAATCGCCTAAATGATGTACTGTTATCTAATATCTATGTATATCTATTATCTAACCGTATCAAGTAGTATAGACGGTTGAAAAGAAGCCGTTCCGCCGGACTAAAAGCGCTTTACAACTAGAGGAGAGATGAAAAACGGCAGGAAAAGTTCTGAGCGAGAGCAAAGAAAAGTGAAGGAAATCGAGCACGGTGAGACGAGGGTTTTTCTCGATACCCTAGCATTCCAGATTTTACTGGCTCAATCATATTAGTCGTGAATCCTTAATGAAAAAAACCTGTAAAAGGACAATAGCTTTTTTCAGGAATCAATTTAGCACCTATTTGCTTGCATATCTCTTAGCAACAGGGCGAGTGTGGCGCAGTGGTTGGAGGCGCCACAACGACACAGACGTAGAATCTATCCTCGCGCCCACCATGGCCCACCAAGCCTTCTAACCCTCCGGGGTCGGCCAATTGGTACCAAACTTGTCTAGGAGGATGGTAGCACTGGCTCGATACATCGGTAGGCCACCGCGAGTCATTGTAAAGGCCAGATATGCATTCAATCACCTCCAAACTATGCTTAATGAAGTCGAATGCATGGCGCACCCCTCGGGATTGATCAACGCCGGAAGCTTTATCTTTTTTAAGACTTATGTCTTAGCAATGGTTTTTTGCCATTTTCGAATGTTTTACTATCGTCTACCTTTGCAAAGCTCACTTTTCACACATTCACTCCGCATTATTCGATCATAATAAACTGTCTTAACTCTTTTATTTACTGCCTTTTTCTTTTTAATGGCAGGGTATGTTGTGAAATATAACTCGTATGAAGTGCTGAGATATCTGCAAAACTCTGGACCACAGGTGTATGCAGTGGAGAACGAACACGCGCTGT